GAAGCAGGGGTAGAGGGCCCTAGGACTCTTCTACCACATCCTAAAGACCTGGGGAGTAGGTGTGAAAAGATCTGGCCCCTGACAAGCAACACGGGAGCCACCTGGAAGTGCCACGGCAGCAAAAGGAGGTGGACAGGTTGACAAACTAGCATCAAACATGGGGTGTATCTCTAGGGGAGGCGCATATGGATGCAGACGCGAGAGTGCCCTGGGAACGCTAAGAGAGAGAGGCTACCAGCTGCCCACTGCGTCACCCCTGGGGTCCCCACTCTGCCTTCCTGTAGGAGACGGCATGAAAAACTGAGGGATCTCCTTGCCATGGCTGCCTCTCACCCATTAAACCTACTTGTTCTCTGTTTCTCACACAGGTCGACCCCATTCCTGCCTCCTTGCTTTGCCTCCCCCTCTACCTGCCAGCTGGAACGCCTTTGCCCTAAATCTTTGTCTTTCCAAATCTGACTTGCCCTTCAAATTCACACGTCACCGCGTTCTGGTAATCCTTCCATGTTCATCCCCAGCCAAAAGTAGCATTCTGACCATTCTTCCTCTGACCTTCTCCAGCAGAGAGGACAGTGGCTGAGAGCCTGGGGCTCAGTTTCTCCATCTGTAAGATGGGACTGTGAGGACTGAGATGGTCCATGTAAAGTCCCAGCACCGTCCTGGCACACAGTAGGCACTTAATAAACAGTAGCTGTTCATCGCGATGTCATGGCCTCCCCCGCCACCCAGGCGGGACCATGGTTCCCTCAGGCTCTGGTACACAGTAGGCATCTACTGAATGCTCACTCGGGTGACCAGCAGGTGGCCCCACACCCCAATTAACCTGCCTTGACCAAATGCTCTGAGCCCTGGGAAACTGGTTCCCTGAGCCTCCGGCTGCTTTCTCCTGGTCATGGGAAACAGAGAAAGGGCAGGACTGGCAGAGTCTTGGCGCCTTGGCATGTCGCCTAGCAGACACTTGGGCAACATTGCTAACCATGGCCTTTGGACTTGGCTGCCCCCTCCCCTTTTCCACAGCCTTGCCCACCCTTGTGAGGATTACTCCCATTTAAGGGGTAAGAAAACCTTCCACTGGTGGCAGCATGTCTGCCCAGGGTGCCTGAAGGATCTGGCCCTGCTTGATCAATGTCTCAGTTTACTGATGAGGATGGGGAACCTCAAAAAGTGGAACAGTTTTGCCCAAATCCTCATGTAAACCAAAGCTCAGGTATCCTGGCTCTAAGCTAAATAATCCCACCCCACCCCACCCGCAGGGAGGGAGGTGGACTTTCCAGACCCTTTCCTGCCTTTGATTCCAAGGGGTTAATGTGTTGGATGCCCAGTAGGACAAAGGGAATAATTTTACCCTGCTGGGTTTAAAGGCAGCTGCAAGGACCCACTAGAGATGCAAAGGCTCAGCCCAAGGAAGTCAGGTCTAGAGATGGCTATCCCAGGGCCTATGCCCCCTCCCCACACCTCCCAGAGAGAGAGAGAGTTTCCAGCAGGCCTGGGAGCACTGAGCCCCCTGCAGAGGTTGCGGCAGCCTGCATTCCAGGCTCAATTCTGGCGCTGCGGTGGAGGGGCTGAATCGAGGGCAGAGAGGGGCTGGTGTGGAATAGCAATGAGCTAGGCTGCTGGAAGCCAGCCAGCACCAGGTTTGCAAGACAGAGAACTCTGCTGTCAGCTGGGTCAGGGGAGCATCCCTGGGAAGCACTGGGAAGCAATGTCACACACAAACACACACACACACACACGTGCACTCACTCGTGCACACATGTGAATACACCTCTCATGGATTCTTTATTGAAAACTTCCAGGACGCCAGCATGGTGGCCAAGTAAATGCCTGTGAACAGGCTGATGAGAACAAGTGGCCACACAGCTTAATTCCAGCTGATTGTCAGGGGTTTGCTCCTATTTCACAGATAGCCACACTGAGGCCCAAAGAGTGTGACTTGGCCAGGCACCCAGCCTCCTTGCCCTGGCCTATGAGAGCATGCCTGATGCCAGAGATCAGGGAACTCCACGTCTCTTCAGCTCTTGGAAGTGGCCGAGCAGACATGGCAGATATGGGGGCAATCCTTCCAACCCTCTCCTTTGCTAACTCCCTCTGCTGCACCCCCACCAACCTAGCCACTCCCCCTTCCCCACAACAGCGAAGGGCCAAGTATGGCCAATTAGAATCCCTCCCTGGGTCTGGAGTGTAGGCCCCTGGCAGATGCCTCCCTGCTGGAACTGCGGAAGCTGCGGTCCCGGATGTGAGAAGGCTGTACGGACAGAAGATCAAGATCAGCCCCAGGGAGAAGCACAGACAGGCAGAGCTGAGGGGTGTAGAGTCCTTCTGTCCCCAAGGCCCTGATCCAGGTCCCTGCAGTTCTGTCTTCAGTCCTATAAACTATCAGACACCCTCCCCAGCCACTGGGCTGCATCAGTTCCCTCTTTGGCTTAAAAGGCCCTGTGACACCTCCTTCTTAAGCCACGCCCTTCCTCCACAGACCATTTCGAGCCTGAGATTTGGTAGCATTTGTGTGCTGTTTTGTCCTTCTCCCGGAGGAGAGTAAACTCCGAGGTGAGAGCCCTGCATGCAGCTTTCACTGATGCTTTCCTTGCACCCAGCGTGGGGACTCAAGCGCCGTGGCTGCTCAGGGCCCAGCAAGGGAGTCTGTCTGCAGCTCCGTGGCTAGACAATCTGCCTTTGCATCTGGCCAGTATTGCACTGGGCAGAGTACATGGCGAGGGTTGGTCTGAACCACAGGCTCCACGAGGTCCCCAGAATTCATTTGGGGAGCCCAGGGCCCCTTCAGAAGGGTAGGCCACCCTCCTTGAAGCCCAAGGCTTTGCCCGAGGTTCAGGAAACCCAGGTGATGCTGCTCTGGAGAGCAAGCCCTTGGGAGTAAAACCCCATGGGTGGCAAATGCCTGACTTTGGGGGGTGGAAAGTCCCAGAGATAGATCTGGGCAGGGTTGCTTTTCCCTCTAGCAACTTCAGGTACTTCTCTCCTTCCTGATGGCTAAGGATGCTGGGGTGGCAAATGGGTCCTGGGCACGAGCCATGCACCAGGCACCTTGCTAGGCACTTCACATGCATCCTCTGCCTGGATCCCCCAGATGACTCCCCAGGGTGGGCACTACCGCCCCATCGCAGTTGAGGAAATTGAGGTGGGAAACCTGGGGGACTTGTCCAAGGTCGCCAAGCTAGGAAGCAGCCCGCATCTCAGGAGTGCTGGCCTTCTCCCAGCCTTCTACCATCTCCACCCCTTCCCCCACGCCTTGAGGGGATAGGAGGTAGAGGGAGAGCTGCGGGTGCCAGTTGAGCTCTTGGGAAACTGGGAGGTTTCAAGATAGGAGCTGAGGGAATATGCCACAGTCAGGGCCCTGCCTCGAGGCTGCCCGCAAGGGCTTCCGAGGGCTGAGGGTGCTCTACTGCCGGAATAGTCAAAAGACAGTCTCCAGCGTCCCGCCCCCTCCCCTCCCCGACATTCTCTCTGCCAAATGAAATCTGGCAGCTTCTGAAAATAGCTCAGCGCTGCAGCAGGCTCTCCGCCCGCCCTTCAGCAGGCTGGCATGCAGCTGGGGGTGGCCGCTGTGGGCAGACGCTGGCGCACGCGGGGCCCGGGGGTGGGTGTCACACACACGGTGCGCGGGGCGCCCCATAGCTGGTGGCATGAGGAAGCTGCCATGCGTCTGCTTCTCTGACCTTTCCATGCCCGGCGAAGCCACAGTGGCCCTGGAGCCAGCCCGCATGCTTACTAGGCCTAAAGGGGGATCACTGGTGGGTGTGAGCAGCTGCCCTTGGGCCACTTTTGTCCACTCGTGTAGACAGAGAAACCCAGGAACCAGGAGGAAACGCCAAAATGGTGTTTATTACTATCTACATGTAAAACCCAGCAGTGTTTTCCTATCTGACGTGGGCTCGGGTTTCCCAGCCAGCGAGAGAGAGGTCAGGAGCCAGGCTGGGTGTCAGGCACTTGTCAGGCCCATATCAGGCACTGAGAACCCTGAGGCTACCCTGGGCAGTCGTGGGACTGGGTAAGCTTGGACCGGCAAGGAAGGGATCCTCTCTGTTCCGACTCAGGCCAAAGCTGGGACCCAGAACCAGACCTTCTAAGCATCACTCAGCAGCCCTCCACTGCCTTGGGTCTGACCCAGAGCGTAGAAAGAGATCCCTGATTAATGGGGAGCCCCTGGGTCCTGCCCCCAGCCATCCACTCTCACAAAAGTACACGAGGAGGCAGCCCCTGCCATCAACCAGGACAAGGTGGAGGACGAACCGGTACAGAGAAGCTTTCCTGCCTGGGAACCAGTGAGTGGGTAGGGGCAGGAGAACTGTACTGGCTTTCGTCACAGTGACATTTTCCGAAGTAGAAAAGGGTTAAAAATGCCTCCCACCCTCCCCTGAGATGAGAGGCCACTCTTTGGGTAACGGGTAGTAACAGCATCACTAGGCCCAGGGACTCTGCAGGGAGGGTGCTCCAGGGGCCCTGTGGGATGGGGTTGCAGCAGGATAGGGCTGGACCACCCAGCGAGGCAGGCAAACTGACCATGGGCCTCGGGAGACCAAAGGGAGGGAGCCTGAGAGGGTGGAGCAGTGTGAAGGAGACCAGCCTCCCCAAGGACGCAGAAGCAGACCCCCATTGCCCCTTCTCCCTCCCTTGCTCTCTCACTCAGCATTCACAGACAGCAAGCCGGTCCCTGGTCACCATGGCAACCAATGGCCAGATGCCTTTCCCAAGGCCAGGCCCATCTGCCCACCCTACAGGGGGGTGTCTCCAAGGGAGGAGGGAAGCCCGCCACAACTGCTGGTGGCCTAGAAGTCTAAAGCCATGCCCCAGCGTGCCCAGCAGAGCTACGTCTCACTCAGGCCGCTCTGGCCAAAGGCGCTGCAGCTGTGGCAGGTGGCTCCCTAACTCCAGGGCCCTGGGTCCTCTCTAAGGAGGTTTGGAGTCATGGTCGCCCATCCTGAAGTTCTAAGTGACAAAATAAAACACAACAAAATGATCCTTTTGTTAAAAACAATGACCCGGGGCGTCAGCACGCTCCTGTCTGTGCCCAGGCTGCGCGGCCGGGCCCATCCAAGGCCCTCATCCAAGGCCCTCATCCAAGGCCCGGTGCGCTACTGGTTGTTGCAGCCCTGTGAGCCTGAGGAGCCGCCTGCCTGCTTCTTTCTCCGCTTATTGAGCAGTCGGTTGTTAGAGGTCTTCAGGTCCTTGATCTGCACCTGGTCGTAGTCCACACGCATGGTTGCCAGGGCACTGGTCATCTCCTCCTGGTGACAGATGTCCGTGGAGGTCAGGATGTACTGGCCTCAAGAGCCATCACCCTCCTGCCTCCAGCCCCTTACTAATGTCAACGAGGGTGGCAACAGCTTCTGCTGCCTGAGCACCCACTGCATGCCCAGCACTGGGCCATCCCCTTGTGTCCCCTAATCCACACTGCAGCGCTTTGTGGTGGACACTGAGCTTATCCACCAAGGCACAGAAAGTGCAGTGACTCCCTGTGACCACACCAAGGGTAAGTAGGACAGGGACCTGGACCAACGTCACCTGCTAAGGACCACAGGCCTGCAGGGGACACCAACTTGTGGGGCACACAGGGCACTAAAGCCTGAAGATTGTGCCCGGGGTGCCCTGGGGCTCTGAGCTGCTGTCCCCTATGCTGAAACCAGACTGACCACCCTCCCCAGTGTAGATTGTAAGGGGGGTTATGCCAAAACCCCTTCCTTCACTGAGCCCCCGGCCCCAAGTCCCAGTGAGCCAGGAGCACCACCCTGAATGCAGTAGCGTGGCCCAGTGCTCTGGGTGCCCCAGCTGGACCCCTGGTGCAGTCTGTGACACCCCGGGCTCTCGCCCCGGGGGGAGGGGATGATGACCCAGGCTCTTGGTAGCCACCACCCTGGAGTCCCTTTTCCCAAAATCCTGGGAGACTGAGACAGCAACAGCGTCCACCCACCTTGACCTCATCCCAGTGGTCTCTATCCTCCTGCAGCACGCGGGCTGTGTGGAGTGGGGTCTGCGGCACCACCATTGATTGCTGGAAGGAGCCCCAAACCCTTGGATTAGAACAAGCACCGGCGATGGCACTGGCTCCCCAGCCCCACCCTCTCTCCTGGTCTCAGATATGGGAAGCAAGGCTCAGGGAGGTGAAGGAGCCTGACTGGAGCAGGGGCAAAGTCAGGCTCTCGGCGAGGTCCTGCTGCATATCTGCGGCCTGCACAAGGGCCTCTGGAGCCACCACCCTCCTGCCCACGGCCCCCCCCTCCAGCTTGCCACTGCCCACCACAGGACGAGGAGGCACTCACGTTGATCCAGGGATGGTTCATGAACTGTGTGATGGTCAGCCTCTCTGTGGGGTCTGTCTTCAGTAGGAGGCGGATCAGCTGCTTGGCTGGGGAAGACAGGGGAGTGGGGAGGCTGCAGAGTTCCTCAGAGCCAGTCGCCCCAGGTCTGCATGGGCTCCCAAATTCCTAACCCACAGAAACAGTGAGCTAACAACTGTTTCTTATTTTAAGCCACCACGTGTTTGGGGGTAACTCGTTAAGCAGCCATGGAGAATGGGGACAGGGCAAATTTGTCTGTGGTCCCCAAAGGGAAAATACTAAGAAGGGGTAGGAGTTAGAGGATGTTTTGAGGAGGCAAGTTTTGAGCCCATTTAGCAGATATAGAAACTGAGGTTCAGAAAGTTTGGGTGACTTGCCTAGGGTCCCTAGCAGGGAGATGGGATGTGGGATGTCACGCACCCAGGATTTGAACACAGGTTGCTTTGACACCAACGTGGTATCTCCCAGAATGAAGGCTAATGGGGTCCAGTGGAACAAGCTGGGGCAGAGAGGTTCACTCACCATCTTCAGAAACCTCTGACCACTCAGGATTGGGGAAGCCATACTGGCCTAGGCGGATCCGCCTCTTCATCCCTGGGGAGATGGCCTGGCCCGTGTTGGAGTAGAAGGGCGGGAAGCCACACAGGCTGGGAGAGAGTGGAGGGCATTCAGCACAGGAGTGAGGACAGTGCCAGGGTGGACCCATTCTCCTCCCCGCATCCCTGACTGGGAAGACAGGCAGCCACCAAGGTAGCCACCTTGGCAAGAAGACCAGCCCTCTGGACTCTGGGCTCATCCTGGGAACGCCATCTGCCCTTGGCAAGGAGAGACCTTCAGGCACTCTGAAAGAGGGGTGTCCCCAGCCTGCATGGAGAATGACCCACTCAAGTCCCTCACCAAGGGTTGGGGGAGAGGAGGCAGAAGTGGTACCGAGGGCACCAGGGGGCGGTGGCGACGGTGGTACTGAGGGCACCAGGGGCCGGTGGCGACGGAGGCAGAGGTGGTGGTACTCACAGGATGTACATGATGACGCCCAGGGACCACATGTCACATGATTTGTCGTACTTCTCTGGACCCAAGACCTCAGGAGCTACCAGGACAGAGGGCACAGGAGGGCTCTCAGCCCCAAGGGTCTTGGGGCCCAGACAGGAGCCTGAAGCCTGAGCAAGGTGGGGAGCAGGTGCCTGGGTTGAGGGGCGGGGCAAAGCAGACTGGTGTCTGGCACCTTCTGGGAAGGCAGCATGTGTGTGAAGTTGGGGGAGGAAAAACAGCTCCCAGAAAAAATAAACCCACTTTTAGGCTGGGCTGTAAGGAATGACAGCCTCCTAGCTTCTTTGGGCTGATATCGGCCTTTGTTGAGGGAGGAAAGGGAGAAAAGGCCCGTCTGGGATTTGGTGGGGTCCTGCCATAGGCAAGAGGGCCTCCTCCCCCAAGCAGCCCTGTGTCCGTTGTCCCCCTGAACGCACAGCCTAGCCCACGGGCAAGGAGGGGCCAGGGCGGGGCTCTGGTTTCTGCTTTCAGCTTGGCGACCATCCCATGGGGCCTTGCTCTTCCCACCTGTGCAATGAGATGGGTAGGCCAGAGGATTTCTAAGCCAAAATACTGCAAAACACGTCTTGGTAAACAGGATACCATTTCGGCTGTCTCGGGGGCTCCCCACTCCTTAAGCAGTTCTCCTGGAAGGTCTCCCCTGAGGGGAAAGACCCTCTGTAGTGCAAGTCATCACCCCTCCTGGATAAGGAGCGCCTTCAGCAGGGGCTTTTCCAGATCTGGGCTACCTGCTCACAAGGGAGCAAGGAGCTTCTCCAAGGAAGAAAGCATGGATGGGTATGTGACACCCCCAAGGCCTATCCCTGCCCTGGCCTAAGGGACCCTCTCCCTGAAGACAAGGGGCTGGTGCCCTGTATCCTTCTAATGCAATAGGAAAGGCCTGCCTACTTTCTGAATATGAATCCCAGAAAGATAAAAACTGGAGAAAAACAACCGCGGTTGGGCTCCGTCCCAAGCTGGTGGCAGCCTTTTATCACATATATATTTAGAGCTGCTGTGATGTCATTCAGCTCACAGGCCACAGCCAGAATTTTCCTGGATCTATTTTCAAAAGCAGAAGCTGAAGTTTGGGAGAATATTTTTTGCAGCCTCCGGCCCCCCACGTCACCGCCTCCACGAAGACAGGATCCCTCCCTCCCTCCTTACTGGGCTTTAACCCTTTGGCTTCTGCAACCCACGGGCTGCCCCACACGGCAAGAGGGTCCAGCGGAGGTAGGGACGTACAAACCACGTCCCAAGGACTCACCCACGTAATAGGGAGTGTAGCAGGGTGTCTGCAGGGCATTTTGGGTGGTCTCCTTGGCAAAGCCAAAGTCGGTGAGCTTGAGTACTGCATCTTTCTCCTTGGACGTGTAGAGCAGGTTTTCAGGCTGGGCCAGGAAGATAAAGCATTGGTCTGAAGCTAGGCACCAGGTGGGGGAAGAGTTCCCAAGATGATCTTCAGGCAGACTTCCTTCACCCCAATCAATTCAGGAGGAGCCAGCTCCATCTCATTAAAAAGACCTGGGCCTTGGTCACCAACAATGTGGGTCAGATATGGAGAAGACTAAGGTGGCTGGGAGGTGATGCCTCCTTTAGCAGAAGGGAAACAGAGGCAGGTGTTCAGCCAAAGCTGAGAAGAGCCAAGTGCCACAGAGAACCCAGGGGTAGGAACTGCGGAGCCTGAGTTGGTGATGCTGCCATGAAATACCAAAATGAGGGTTCCAGGCAAGGTAGGCAGCTCATGTTGCCAAGCACTTGTCCGGTACCCAAACCGGAACAAGGCAGTGGGGCAGCCCGCCTGAGGCCATTCAGGGAGAAGGCCCCTGCCCCTTAGGCCCCAGGAGCTGCACAGAGGCAGTTCTTCCTGGTTGCAAAGCACAGAGAGGCCTAAGGGGAGAGGACAGTAAGGAGGTCTGCATGGAGGAGGCAGCCCTGAAGCTGGTTTTTAATGAATGGGTAGGACCTAGGGCCTGTAGGAAAGGGGGGACCCTCAAGCAAAGCTGGGGTAGAAGGACAGGGTGTTGGATGGAGTTCCAGTTTGGGGCCAGTGAAAGCCTTTTCTCTGGTACTATTTGAGATGACCTGACCTTGGCCTGGGGTGAAAACAGGAAAGCACATTTAGTCTACACAAGGGAGTCACCTCTACAGAAGACTGTTCTCTCCTTGGGGAAAAAAAGGCAGGGCCAAAATAAAGCAAGGGTTCAGAAGGTGAGTCTGTCGTGGCTCCACGTGCATCCAGAATCAAGGGATAAACGGGCTGCTGGTACTCAGCCAGAGGAGGAACCTGATGCCGCAGCTGGGCCCTCAGCAACTCTCGGCCCAGTCTCAGGATGAAACAGGCCTCAGGGTAACGCTCTAGGCCTGGGGCAGCGGGCTAAGGACTCGCAGATTCTGCTCTGATGGTGGCTGACACATACATGCGTCTGTATGTGGGGCTGCCTCACACGGTTCACATTTTCCCCATCTGGTCCAGATGACCTCTAGGACCCAGCCCTCCCTAGACAGGACATTTGGAGAGCTGAGCCTCCAGAACATGTCTGAAGCCCATCCACTGAAAGGGCCAGCAGGCCCAGGAACTGGAACTACCTCTGCTCATTCCCCCTCTTCTCCCAGCTAATGACTTCTTTCCCTGAAAATGCTGGTGCTGGGGGTGCCTGGGTGGCTCAGTCGGTTGAGCCTTTGACTCTTGATTGCAGCTCAGGCTATGATCTCAGGCTCCTGGGATGGCTCCGTGCTCAGCGGGGCATCTGCTTGAAGGTTTGTCTCCCTCTGCCCACCCCCTCACCCTCTCTCTCTCAAAAAAATAAATAAATCTTTAAAATAAAAAAAAATCCTCACTGAAAGAATGAATGAATGAATACCGGTGTGGCATCTGCGCAGGCTTAGGCAAGACACAATCTCTCTGAGACTTGCTTTCCTCATCTGTAGAATGGGTAATGGCGCCGGGCCCACGGGGTTATGTGAGGATTAAACAAGATGCTTGTCAGGGCCTACTGACTTGAGGTAGGCCCACAGTTGTTCTAAAGCCTATTGGGATTACACAGTGTTTGAAAGAAACAAGGAGACCCATCTGGCTAGGGCAGGGTAAGTATGCTGGAACCATGGGAAAAGTGGCTGAGAAGAGCAGTCTGGGCTAGGGGACAGAGGCCTTGAATGCCAATCAGGAAGCTTGCCTCCATCTAGTGGGTGCTGGGAGCCACTGGGGGTTGTGTACTCCCTTCTCTGGTCCCCTAACCTTGAGCCTCACCTTGACATCTCGGTGAGCGATGTTCTGGCTGTGCAGGAACTGGATGGCAGTGCCGATATCCCGCATGATCTCTGCAGCTTCTGCAGACAGAGACAGAGGAAGGGCCAGTGTTGTCAGGCCAAGGTCGGGCAGCCTGGGGCTTCCACCCGATCATCCCCCCTGGAACAGCACAAGATGGTGAGAGCAGTCCTGCTACCCAGGACCCATCCTATACCCCCACCCCAGTCATCCTCATTTCCTCTGGGGATGTCCCAGCCCACCTGGACCTCTTTCCTCAGGCCTGGACCACCTCTTCCCAGCTCAAGTGCTGGTTGGTATCAAGAGGCTTTGAAGCCTCCATCCCAAGGCCATGGACAGTCCATCTCTGACAAGGTGTTATGAACTCACAGAAGTCCTTGGGGTACGAACACTCTGTCCCATCCTCTCTTGTGCAGCGGGGGAGACTGAAGCATAGAGAGGAGCAGGGCCTTGCCCAGCATCACACAGCAACTCTCTGCAGCCCGTCTCGGTCTGAATGCCCCCTCTGGTCCTGCTGCACACACCTACCTCTCTCGGTGAAAGCCTGGTCACCACGCTCCTGAATCCGGCTGAAGAGCTCACCACCTTCCATGCTAGAAGAGAAAGTAACTAGAAGCAGGGCCCCCTGAATCAGGTGTCAGCCTGCCCCTGGCCTGAACCACAGGCCCAGAGCTTAGGCCCGGCCACTCTGCCCCTGGGAAACGGTTACGGGCAGCCTCCCTGTGCCCTGCAGAACCTGGTGCGTAGGAGGCCATCAGCTTGGGTGGGTTGACCTGGACTCTTAGAACTAGGGTAGGCTCAGGTCCTCAGATCATCGGGGGGGGGGGGGCCTTTGTATTGCCACAGGGGCTACCCCCACCTGGCTGAGCCTTGCGCAGCCCAACCCTCATCCAAGTCTCGGTTCCCTCAAATAAGGGAGGAGATGTCAATTGTCATCATCATCACCCCTGTTTTCTGAACACCTACAGCGCTACGTGATCCTGGCCTGGTCCCTTTACCTCTCTGCACCTCAGCTTCCTCCTCTGTAAAACGGGATTTAGAGCACCAGCCTCACAGAGTTGTGCAAATTGAGTAAGCGGTACGCGTGGAGCCCTAAGAACGGAGTCAGGTACAGGGCGAATAGCACGTTAACATCTTCCTCCACTTCTTACATGGCAGTTACAGAAGTTCAGAGAGGTTAAGAGCTACCCCAAATCACACAGCTGGTGGGTGGTAGAGCCGGGATCTGAACCTCACATCTGACTCAAGGGCTGCTAACCTATAGGATGAAGGCTGCTTAAAGGTGGATGGGGAGGAGCTCGAGGTCGAGACACGAGACCCAGCATCTGAGGAAGGCTAGGGCTGAGCCACAGTGCTGTTGGGAGAAGCCCAAGGTAGAAGAGGCTGCTGGCTCCTGGATTACCCCGTGGTCTCCTGGGACCACGGGAGCCCAAACCCAGGTAGGAAGGAGAAGGTGGAGGTGACAGTGTGTGTCCTGCTCCTCCCAAGGCAGGAGGCTTTGAAGCCTCCATCTCAAGGTCAGGGACGGTCCATCTCTGACAAGGTGTTATGAATTCACAGAAGTCCTTGGGGTATGGACACTGTCCCATCCTCTCTTGTGCAGCGGGGGGGACTGAAGCATAGAGAGGAGCCGGGCCTTGCCCAGCATCACACACTCAGGGCTTGGCTGCCTTCTCCGACCGCTCTTCCAGCCCCTCCTCACAGAGTGAGAGCACATCCCCGGAGGCCATACTGGAGCCCCTGGAGTTCCCTTCCCACACGGATGGAATGGCCTTGTGGCCAGCTGCACAGCTCCATGGGCAAGGCCTGCAACTGCCCCTCCATTCCTCCTCAGGGACTGGGGTGTCTCCCGCAGCTGCTGTCTTGAGAGCAGAGAGGGCCCCTAAAGAAGGGTGGGAGCCTGGGGGCCACAGGAGTACCGGTGAGGCCCTGACGCGGGGTGGGCCAGCATACCACTCCATGACGATGAGGAGACAGCGCTTGCCGTGGTGCATGTTTTCATACACGTCCAGGATGCGCACAATGTGAGGGCCCCCTGAGGTCTGCCAGTGGTGGTCCACCTCCTGCCGGGCCTTGGGGCTGTCATACAGGAGCTGAGGGCAGGTAGGCACAGAGAGCGTCAGGCACACAGCCCACTTCCCCAGCAGCTCCCCACTCATGTCACTGCCCTCACGTGACAGACAAGAATATGTAAGCTCAGAGAGGCCTGTGACCTGCCCAACTCGCCCAGCTTATGAAGGGCAGAATAAGGATTCAAATCCAGGTCTCTCTGACTTGTGGTCCAATGACCACAAGAAAGCCCTGGGAGGTGGCTGACAGCTTGGAAAGGCTCAGAGGCCGCTTACAGAAGCCCTGCCTCCCTTCTTGGGGGCTGCAAGTCGAGTGGCAGTTGTGTGGGCTTTGTAGACAAATCACACATCAGATGTGAGACCCCAGGCCAGGGGCCACACATCCCTGGAACTGCATTTTTCCAATGGGATGGCACAAGAGTTGTAGAGTCTGGGGGCAGGAGGGACCCTAGCTGAAGGAGGTGACAGCCTGGTCAGGTGAGGCCTGGGTTTGGGGCTGAATTCTTCCAGTGACTCAGTATGACCTCAGGGGTGAACATTCACAGCTCCAAGCCACAGCCCACAACTCCGTAAAATGGAGTCATAACAGAGCCATCCCCACAGGATGCATCACAGCAAGGCACGCAGCGGGTGGGCGGGCATCAGGATCCCTGCCCAGGTTAACACAGCCCTAGGCTATGGCCGCCAGCCAGAAGTCCAATCACCAGTAACGAGCAAGGCCCCGGAGTGGTCCTGCTCAGAGGAGGAGGTGTAGGGGAGGAGAAGTCAGCATGCAGGGTGAGGTGGTCCAGAATGCGAACAGCAGGACAAGCCATCCTCCCACAGGGCTGCTCACCTGAGACCCCACCCCGTTTGCTTTCTAGTTGATCAGGGTTGAGGACCAGAGTCAGAACTCAAGCCTGGGGCTCAAGAGCAGCTTCGTCTTGCTCAGCCCCCACAGGACCCTGGGCCATTCCTGGCCTTGGTCTCCTCATCTGCAGGATGGTTTTCCCTCTGCCAGGGCACTGGGTGGGGCAGACTCTGGGACCAAGCTCTCTAGGCAGAGGCAGACTGAGGCACGGAGGACGTCAGTAGGTTCTCGCATCTGCTGCCCCATGGCTGTTCCTCCATCTCTGGAGCTGCACACCTTGACCGTAGCCTGGGGGTGCAAGAAGCCGGGCAAGTCCCTCCACCAGTTTTGGGGTCCCTGCTCCATTAAGCAGTCCAGGATGGGGGTGTGCATAGAGGCTGCTGTGGACAGACTCCCAGCCTGGAAACCATGAGTCCCTTGCTCATGCTGCCCTTGCCTCCCAGAACGTCCTCAGCTCCGTGCCCACACAGCTCCTGAGCACCAGCTTCTTGCTCACAGTGCTGGGGGCAGGGGCTCAGGCACCCCCACTCACCACACCAGCTCACCCCCACTGTGTTGAGGCGACTCTAGCCAGGGGTCCCCCAGTCTTTAGCCACAGGACCCAAGATGCACCATCCTCCCTCCTTGCTCCGTCTCTTCTGCACCCTTTTCTGCATGGCCTCCCTACACTTCTCCCTGCCCCCTGCCATCTCCTCCCCAGTCTGGCCTGACTTGACAGTGTCCTGCAGGGCTCTCCAGGCTGGCTCCTGGATCCCCTCCTCACTCTGCCCTGCTTCTGGCATCTCACCCCTGCCCCCGAGTCCTCTCTCTCCTCTCAAAAACTCCCAAGTACATAGCGGGAAACCTGCCAGTGGGGTCCCCAGCCCCACCTATCCTTGGCCCCACTCTTTACATCCCCACCCCCATTCCTCCAAATAATGGCCACCTCCTCCCCTGGCCTTCGGGCTTGTCTTCCTCTCATTGCCTGCTATCCCTTGCCCCCAGCCCTTCCCGTTCTGGTCGGAATGACGTACTTGCTGACCCGAACAGCCCACCCTCTGCCTATGCCACGTACACTCTTGCCACTCTCCTTCTCCATTGGGTCAACTCCCTCCTTTTGAGGAAGTTTCTGGGCTCAGTTCAGATGTCTTCTCCTCTGGAAAGACCTCCCGGCACCTCCCCTCTAGGGTTTTTGCCTCTATATCTCCCACCAGGCTGAAAGCAGCTTTAGGGCAAATCAGGGCAGGTTGGCCTGCAGGTTCCTGGCTAGGGCGGACAGAAAACACTGGGCTCCTGAACAAACAAAGGGTGGGAGGGTGGGCATGGTGCTAGGAGGAAGGTGTGGGAGGGAGAGGAGGAGGGGAGTGTACGACCAAGGAGGGGCCCAAGGGCCTCATGGCCTGGGCCTGCGCCCTGTCTTTGCTGAGGTGGAGAAGCAGGTGGAGCTGCCCTGAGCTGGAACCTCCCAATGCCCCCCACCCGACTTAGTCCATATTTAGGAACCCATTTCCTACATGGATTAAAATAGTCCTTTTCTGAGTGCCAAGACCCTAAGACCAGGCACAGGGGTGGGGAGAGGGCTGCCCCCAGAAAACACAGTAAATGCCCCTACTGGCCTCCCTGCAGGGGAGATCACAGGGGCCAGAGCCCAGGCCCAGCTGCAAAGAAACCTCCTGGGCTGTCATTCTTGATCCCTCAGCTTGGCCCTGAGTGTGGCCCCAAACCTCCTAAGCCTCAGTTTCCTCATCTGCCTTCCCTATAGCCAGAGCCTTCTCCTCTTCCAGGAGTCCCCCCAATATCACCTCCTCTCAGAAGCCCTCCCTGACCACCCTGACTGAAGAGGACCTCAAGGATCCCTGATTCTCCCTTCAACTTTTCTTTATATATATGTGTGTGTGTGTGTGTTGTTGGTTGAGGTACACCTCACATACAGTAAAATGCACAGGTCTCAAGAGCGCAGCTCAATGAGTTTTGAGCAGCTGCACATGCCCCCATGACCCACACCCCCAGCAAGACAGAAACACTTCCAGCTTCCCAGCGAGCTCCCGCGTCATCGCCCTTCCTACCTCCCTCCTGTGCCCTGCTGGCTCACAACCTACAATTAGCGTGTTCCTTTGATAACTCTTTAAACAAACACACATATAAGTATGGCACTTTCAACGTGCTTGGCTCTGTTCTGAGCACTTTACAAATATTAGGAGCAAGGGGCTTCATTATCCCCGTTCCTTAGCTGAGAAATGGAGGCACAGCAAGGGGAACTAACTGGTCCCAGACTACATGGCCGGTGCCCCAGCCGGGCTGGAGGGAAACAGAGGCCCAGAGAGGTAAAGGAAGGGCAAGGGCACCGCCAGCCTGCCTGGTCATCCCTGGGTCCCAGTACTGGGCCTGGCACAGAGCATTGGCTGATGTAATATTTGTAGATTTATGGAACAAATCCATGAAGTGGGGTTAAGAGGAAGAAACACTCACAACCCATCATGAGGACAGAATAAGATTAAACTGAGGAAGACCTAGGAAGGCTCAACAACGAGAGACGTGACAACCTGGCCAAACTGGCTCCCCACTCCACCTCATCCACCCTCCCTGGTGAACCAGACTGTACCTCCTCTCCCAAGGAGCCCATCCTGACTGCTGCAGCCCACAAGGCCATTGCTATAAATGGCAATTCACACAGGTACATGAGTCCACACAACCTTTCATAAAAGATGTCCCCAAGCAAGAGCCCCATTTCCCCAGGCATGGAAATGAGCACAGGGCTAGGAGATAGGAGGCTCAGGTTCTACCCTTACTCTCAGTGTGACCTTCGGTGGCTCCTTTGCCTCTCTGGGCCTCTGTTTCCCTAATGTTGAGCTACAGCGCTTGAGCTAGATTGGAGGAACAGAAACCTCTGGTCAGGGGCTCCCTGCAAAGTAACTACCGTAGCCCCCCTCCCACATCACCGCCCCCATGGAGCAGTCCCTGTGGCTCCACAGACCCATATCCAAATGCCTGAACCCGATGGGTGCCACCTGGTTCCCAGTCACGGCTGGGAAGAAAAGAAGATGGCATGGCCTTCTGACCAGCCAATTTGGCAGACCCCACCCTAACCTCACTCCCACTCCATGTCCCCTGGGCCCCCTAGGGCTCCACCAAAGCTGAGGGTCTGTGATGGCTCCTGGGCAGCTCCATCAAGCGCCCAGCAGGTACCCACACACCCATGAGGCAGAACCCTGGCTTTCTCCCAAGGGAGGGGCTCCTGGCTGTACTTGAGGTGTGGGCCCCCAGTGAAGTTAGATGAACAGCGAATCTGAGATGACATTTCCTTGAACAAACGACACTGCTCTAGCCTCAGGTTTTGACGAAGCAGGTTCAACCTCTCCCTTCTCCCTCACTCTCCTTTGACAAATTCTCCAAGCTACCCCTAGAGCCTACAGCCGAATGGCCAAGACCCCTGCCAACCCCCCCGGTGGACCCCGACAAAGGATGAGGCCGAGGGGCCCATGTGCCCCGCCCCCAGCAGCACCAGGCAGAATGGGAGGCTCAGGACTAGCCGGGCGCCCTCCCTCCCTGCATGCCGCATCCTGTCCCACCCAAGGACAGGCTTCACATGTGGGTGGAGGAGCTCCCCAGCCCAGGAGCGGGGAAAGCGAGAGCAACATTGGACTGCAGTTTACAAAACAGTCTCCCCCCTCATGTCATGGGAATGCTGGCGCTGCCCTGTGAGGCAAGCCGGGCGGGGCCGGCAACCCCAGTCTACAGACTGAGGAAAGAGAGGTTCAGGAGGATGAAGTCACAGCCCTGGGGCCACCAAGCCGGAGTGTGGCAAGACTGAACAAGGAGAAGAAGGGACTTTTAAGAGAGTGTCCAGACAACCCCTCCCTGAGGGGAAATGAGAGGATGGGGTGGCACCAACCAAAACTACCGCTACAGGCCTCGGGAGACCTGCTCTGGAATGAACGTGTGCACAGGTGTGGGTGCGCAGGGGGTGGGGGGCACGGGAACATGGATACAGGCAGGTATAGGGGTGTGTCCTGGGGATGCATGGGTATAGGGAGCATGGGGGTGGGGGCCATGGGCATGCGTGTCTCCTACCCCTGCAACAGTGACTCTGAACCCCCAGAGAGTGGGACCCATCCATCTGTCCATTCATTCATCCAATATTTTCTCTCTCTCCGGTGCCTACCAGAGTACTGGGCACAGAGAGGTGCCCAAGGAA